ATCCCTGGATTCTTACCACTTTCGGCAATAATTGAGGTTTGTTTGTTTGTTGTTCAACGCCGAACTCAATATTCCAGCTATATGACGGCGGTCTAATAATCGAGTCTGGACCACACAATCCAGTGATTGACATCATGAGTATTGATCCACTCAATTGAGATACGGTGACATGCATCAACCAAGTCAGCGAGTCTGACCACCCGATCTTGTTAGTCTCCTCTTTCGACAAGCGTAGTCGGCTTTTACGGCAAGCATGGGTTGCTGAAGACCTAGTCTACCCCGGATCTTCACGGGTTATATAGAGACACGTACATAGTAATGTATCTTAAATATATAGGAAATTATATTATATTGTGCAATGAATTATTAAAGGAAATAGTACAAATATAACGTTAGATCATCACGCCACACCAGGTTATAATGTGATTTTTATCATGTATCTATTTTCGTTACAAATTTAAGATTTGAAATAAATATGCCATGTAATAAGTCAATATTTATGTGCTTTCAGATCACGAAGTATCGATGTGTTGCATACGGTAAAGACAGTCAGAAGGATTCATCATGCTGTAGCCTGCCACAAAATTGACCACTTGACTTAACCTTGGCGGGGGCACGGGTGGCCCAGTCGTCTAAGGCGCCGCGATTCGCTGTGCAGAGTTGCGTCCCTTGGGCACGCCAGAAACCTATGATTGTGGGTTCGAATCCCGGTTCGCCCCAATTATGTTTCTAGGTTTGTCAGCACCATACCCGTGCTCGTGGGTTTCACCGAAGTGGTAAACGTCTGAGACCTGCATCACTTCGGGCTTTCCTCCCACATTAAGCTGACACGCCGCGATATAACTGGAATACTGTTAAAAGCGGCGTTAAACCCAACTCACTCATTCACTCACTCACTTAACCTTGGCGGTCCAAATCACTCCATCCAGGTTTGTATGGCGAACCGCACCAGAGAATGCTATCCCCGAAGGGAGCCTAGGACATTGGGCCTTGAGGTATTATTATTACTATATAATAATATATGAATTCTCCGTATACCCGTAATATAATTAAAAAAATGTTATTATATATGTAATGTGTATTTCCTGTTTTAACTAATATATGTTATTTTTCAGATTGCCGAGGATTTCCTGACCGACGACTTTGTCCGCGCGGACATCGTTCACAAAGGCGAAAGGCACATGAAGCTTGCTACTGACAAGCAACTACAGCACGCCAGTAGGAGTACTCAGTGGTTTGTGGACGGAACTTTAAAAATAGTTAGAAAGTCCAATTGATCAACTGCTGAGTAGTCATGCTTTTGCGCCGGCAGCAACTTGAGGTTGGTGCCTCTTGTCTTTGTGATCATGTCACGACATAAAACACATCAAGGTATTGAAGCTATTGGAAATTCTTACCCAGCCATCCAGATGTCAAGACTGTCATTTTGGACGACGAACTGGCTGCATGGAATGGAAAGCAAATAGCCCTTCGAGACGCTCGCATCCAAGGCTGCCTCTTCCACCTTACTCAGGCAGTATGGAGATACTTTCAGGATGGTGGACACGAATATATACATATGCATAATCATTAACAAGGATTAAAGCGTGTATAGATCTACTACTAAATACATCGTTCTTGTCTTTGGTATAAATTTCTGAGGTGACATGAAATGAATTACGCCAGGAAAAACTCTGCGTAATTTATTTCATGTTGAGCATATATGCCACATTGACTCACGAGACAAAACCGGGTGGTCTTCAAAGTGATAAAGCGGCATTCGATAAGGAGATACGCTACCGGCTATGGACATACTTGCCCCGTTGAGACCCTGCGCCTTTCCTCAATCCTTCTGCCGAATCACCACTGTTTGAAAAGAGGCAGTTGCAACACCGAATCTTGAACATGCAGCGGGCACGGGTGGCCCAGTCGTCTAAGGCACCGCGATTAGCTGTGCAGAGTTGAGTCCCTTGGGCACGCCAGAAACCTATGATTGTGGGTTTGAATACCGGGTTCGCCCCGATTATGTTTAGGTTTGCCAGCACCGTACTCTTGCTCGTGGGTTTCACCGAAGTGGTAAACGTCTGAGACCTGCATCACTTGGGATTTTCCTCCCTCATTAAGCTGATACGCCGTGATATAACTGGAATACTGTTAAAAGCCAACTCACTCACTCACTCTTGAAAACGCCCGCCCTCATATAGCTGGAACATTGCGGAGTGCGGCGGTAAACAACAAACCAACCAACAACCAACTTGAAAACGCTTGGTACCCTGACAAGCTCTGTAAACAGAACAGAACAGCACTTTATTTCTCTCAGGCCGTACAAACAGATGATACACTTTTACTCAATTTATACAATCTCTGTTTTCATAGGAAGAGCTATCATGTCACTTTTAAAAACCAGAATGCATATAAATTCTGTATTTCAAGTTCCAACGGGCAAAATGACTAACTTGACTTGATGGGACCTACTGCGATTATATTATTTTCTTTTTACGCCTTTGAGGTGATGTTGATGTGGCACATAGTGCCTGTTATAAATCAGCAGACCACTTTGGACAAGTAAAACTACCCTTACTCAAAGTGGCAACAATTAATTCCACCTTGATGTTTTCCAGACACAGGTGAGTTTGTCCCCGGGTGTCTTCTCTTGGTGCACTCGAAGATCATCGTTTTGCATTACATGGCTTTGTAAACTGGTCCCCTGGTGTACATGTAAAGATTGGTGCACATTGGCCTGCTTCCCAACTGGCCTATATAGAAGGCGCTTCCCATATCACCTGCCCACAATGTACCTTAATCTACACCTCAACTGACAAAATGATATTGTCCTGTTAAACTGTACTCAATGTGTCCATATGTTGTTTTCATTACACAAGCCATTGCCTTTGTCTTGTCATTGATTGATGTTTTGCTATGTCCACAGAATTGGATTAAGCATCACTGGTTTCCTAGTCTGCGATTGTTTGTTTGTTGCTGACTCGATTATTTACAGACCGCCGTCATACAGGTGGAATATTACTGTTTGTTGTTTAACGCCGCACACAGCAATAATCCCGCTGTATGACGGCGATCTGTAAAGTATCGAGTTTGGACCAGACAATCCAGTGACTGACAACCTCGGCGTCGATGGACGCAACTGGGATTCGAGGACATAAATCAATTAAGTCACCGAGTCTGACCCAATCCCGTTAATCGCATTACGTCACACATCGGTTATTGAAGAACAATTGTAACCCGGAATCTGGGATAGTCTCTGATTCTGCATTTTTGTATACATTTGATCAAGGGGATTAAATATCTCTGGGACCCGTGAAGATCCGGGCTAGAATAGGTCCTCAGCAACCGTTGCATGCCGTAAAAGGCGACTAAGCTTGTCCTGGGAGGCGACTACAGCAAGGATCTCCTGTCTACTGTGTACTTGCACGTGTCTGAGGTGAAGCTTGTGTTGTTTTCCGACTCCGGGGTAGAATATGTCTCCAGAAACCTATGCTTGCCGTAAAAGGCGATTATGCTTGTCGTAAGAGGCGACTAACGGGATCGGGAGGTCAGGCTCGCTGACTTGGTTGATGCATGTCATCGTATCCCAATTGCGTGGATCGATGGTCATAATGTCAATCACTGGATTTTCTGGTCCAGACTGTTTTTAGACCGCCGTCATATAGCTGGAATATTGCTGAGTGCGGCGTTAAACATCATTTGTATTTACTACTTTGAATCTAAAGCCTTCTTGGTGTACATATTATAATTATTCCTGTACTGTATATATGCTCTTGTACCACCGTCGGTGGTCTATTGAGAAATAAAGCATCTGAATCTGAATATTGCTGCGTAAAACAACACATACAAACTATCCCATAACCAGTTGTCAGAGCGTCCCACCTGTACGAGTCGTGTCAAAGCCAAACTTCAACTGTCGAGTCTGTCCTTGCAGTCGGCAAGACCCGGTCAGATCGCTCGTGCACCATGCGTATCATGTTGGTATTGCACTCGGCTGCGGCACTTCGTAGGATGGGGGGGGGGGGGGGGGGGGGGGGGGGCACGGGTGGCCCAGTCGTCTAAGGCGGCGCGACTCGCTTTGCAGAGTTGCGTCCCTTGGCAACGCCAGAAACCTTGGATTGTGGGTTCGAATCCCGGTTCGCCCCGATTATGTTTCTAGGTTTGTCAGCACCATACCCGTGCTCGTGGGTTTCACCGAAGTGGTAAACGTCTGTGACCTGCATCACTTGGGACTTAAACCCAACTCACTCACTCGTAGGATGTGCCCATGTCAATGAGCGAAAAGAGCTTCGACAATCGTAAGTCAAAGTCACGTTTAGGAGATACCACAGTCGTAGCGAACGCTTTGAAAAACGAGCCCCTGGTCACTTTAATTAATCTTCCCCACAAACGATCTCTCTTTAATGAAAGTGCATTCATTCAAATTCAACAAGTGAAACTAAAAACAAATATAACTCAAGATGGATTATAATAATTTTAATGTCGCACCTCTATAATGCCGCACGCATGCTATGCTACAAGAGAAAGTATTTCACAATACAGTTCTAAAATTATGGAACTATGCACAACACTCACATTGCATGTATACATATTTCATTAGAGTGACATTTCTAAAGTAGAAAGAGCGATGGGATACATGGTTCATTGATCGAATACAAAGAAGAAAAAGTGTACATGGCAGAAAATGAAACAAATGCACGCAATAGGCATAATTGAAGCTGGCCAATTGCAGAATGCAGATGCCAGACACTTTGTGATATCCCGACTGATGGAACGGGTGGGGTTAAAATTAGGGTAGGTACATGAAGGCCTGACCCGTGAAGATCCGGGGTAGAATAGTTCTCAGCAACCCATGCTTGCACGGGTGGCCCAGTCGTCTAAGGCGCCGCGATTCGCTGTGCATAGTTGCGTCCCTTGGGCACACCAGAAACCTATGATTGTTGGTTCGAATCCCGGTTTGCCCCGATTATGTTTTTAGGTTTGTCAGCACCATACCCGTGCTCGTGGGTTTCACCGAAGTGGTAATCGTCTGAGACCCGCATCACTTCGGGCTTTCCTCCCACATAAGGCTGACACGCCGTGATATAACTGGAATACTGTTAAAAGCGGCGTAAAACCAAACTCACTCACTCACTGCAGTTTGGAACATTATACCAGCAAAGTGACTGCGGTTTGTACAGTAATCGAGGTAGGGTCAGCCAATCAAGTGGTTGATATCATGATTATCGATCTAAGTCGATGACATGCGTCAACCAAGTCAGGGACCCTGACCACCCGATCCCGTTAGTCGCCTCTTACAATGGGTTGCTGAAGACCAAATTTAACTCACAGGGTAACCCTATTTCCAACAAGGACATATATGTATATAAAGCGCCTACGGCTTCACCATGTTGGGGGACATATGTGTAGCCCGTTTCTGTTGTTCCATGCAGTAATATTGCATGAGTATTGCTAAAAGCGGGGGGAAATATACTCACTCACTCACTTACTGTTTTACCTGTTGGAATAGTAAACACTTGAGCATGTGTAAGGTCGGGGGAGGTTCTCCCAGAAGGAATAGCATCAAAGTTGGCTGCTTCGCGACCGGTGGACAGAGTGCACGGATGTATGACCATGTTTGTTACGACGAGCGTGTGGACCAGGAAGAACGCCATCACAATATGCATTGTATAATACAGTTCTTCGAGGGCATTGATACGGGTATACTCAGCACTGACCCCACAGGAAGCGAGGAGAACCAGCAGAAGGGTAAGTAGGACATCATTCTGACATCGACAGCAGAGTCTTCCTTTCAGCGAGTCGTATCTGTGACTGAGTCTCCAGCAGTACCACAAGGTGTAGCCTAGACAGGCTGATGTTGTAAGTGACATCACTCCTACAGGCAAAACGTAGGACACCAGCTGTGCTTGCCAACTGCCCATCCAACGCACGACTCGACCCTGGCCGTACCCAACGTACAACGTAGAATGTTCTTTCTCAAGGACTAGGCACACAACAACCACGATCAATGCTATCAAAATGCACCCAATTAAAAGAAGCAGCCAGCGAGGTTTGGTTTTGGTGTCTTTGAACAAGTTCAGGGCTTTCTCTAGCAGGCAAAAAACGTGGAGCATATGGGTCATGAAGACTAACAACCATACGAAATGTTGTAAAGCTGACACTGACAACCCTGTTAATGAATCTGGCTCATGTTCTAACAAATCTAAGGCGAAGGCTATGATTAAACAGGAGATTAAGCATAGTTGGAACTTATTGTGTTTCTCTTCATAGTCTTTCTGTATCAGTTTTGTGCAGAGAGATAAACTCACACAGGCAAGAGCAATCGCAAGGGATATTGTTTTGTACAGTCTCGTCCCATGAGCCATGTGGTCCGCCTGCACGGTGGCTAGAAGAGATTTTAAAACATCTGTACATACATGTGCAACATCGCCCTTAATTATGTACTGACCTTTTGATATTACATGACCATTTTTATTCAGCTTCAGTTGGTCATGCTCTGTCAGCTTATATTCGCTCTCGGTGAAAGCGACCGTCTGACAGTCGTCAAGCCTGGATTTTGTGGGGTGATTGAGATACGTGTTTTCCGCCTCAGACAGACACAAGACAAATTCCTGTAGATGTAAAACTCCGTAATGGTGGCTAAGTAGGACTGAGTAGACTCCCTGCTCCAGATCAACCAGCATGCTGGACTTTGCAAACATACCATACAGTTTGCCACCAGACTCCACTACTGGCATATTTTTGAATACAGTCTTTTCACCAGCTGAACATTCCACGGTGTCAATGTCATGTACATTAGACATCACCATCTTGCCAAGCGTTACATCGATTGAGTCTGTGTGTCTATACTGTAAAAGGGCTATATGTAACAGTCGTATGGCATCCGACAGCATTGAATCAATGTCCACTTCAAAATCAATTTTGTAAACAAAGTCACTCATATTCGTTTTCAAAGGCGTTAAAGCAGCATATACTATTCTAATGCTTCGGTTGTTCACGTGGAGGCCATGTTTGTCTCCTGTGTTTATTATGGCCATTGTCATGGATGACCTTATGCCTTGAAACACCCTTGAAAGATCTGGTGTCTCCTCGGTCGTATCAAGTTGCAGTTTAAGGATCAAGTTTTTGTTTTCGAAGGAATTTTGTACATTTTTAACATAAAAACACTCATCACGTATCAAAGTAGAATTCGAACATACCCTATCTTCACATGTTTTGAGGATGCCATTCCCGGTTTGATTGTCATAACAAAGAATAGGTTCTGAAACTATTGCTCCAGATTGGCTGTAGAAGATGTAGGACATGTCCATAGGTGAAATATTCTTACTATATTCAATTATGTTTCCAGGGATTCCACCTGCAGAAACGTAATGAAGATAACATCTTAACTCCTCTGTGAAAGTCCTGTTTGTACTGCATGCCATACAGTGGGGGTTTCTGTAGACACGACTACTTCCGTCCGCTACGCTGGTGATATAGCTGTGACACAACAGATTTAGTTCCCTTGAAGACAGGGAACCGTACCCTGTGCTGTTCGTATCGCATGAGGCAGCAGGTTCTTCTGTATTACAACGACGTATCTTCGAGGAAGTGTGGTACTCAACACGAGTCCTACAAACCGTGAACGGTGGTGGTCTGCTGGTGATGAAATCCATAGTTATTGGTTGGGTGGAATCTGGACAGCGTAAGGTGGAGTTCCATACCACCATATCTCGCCTGGGAATATTATGACACATGGCGCAGAAAATGCTGGAGAATATCTCATAAAGGTTCCATCTGTTGGTGACGGGGTCATCAAACGGGTAGGCGTTTCCCTCGCACTTGTCCCTGACGATGTCGTTGTTAAACTCTACAGGACATTTGCTGATCATATATATAGATATGACTTCAGTGGCATGAAGCGTCATACAAGTCGAGTATTTAGCAGCTCTACCAACATCATTGTAGCTGACACGGGGTGACTGTAGATTCCGTTTGATGTCATACAAGAATGATATGATGTCATTATCTGTTTGTAGGTTTAGGCAGGTCTCAAAATAGCCGATGCAACAATCACCAAAGCGAGGACAGGGCTCGTCACAGTTACAGAAATGAGTGGATGTGGCTTGGAACTCTGTTTGGCATGAAGCTGAACATGTCTGCTTACAAAAGCCAGGAAAATCCACACCAACAAAGGTGTCTGTCTGTGCTCTTCCTGTAACAGAAAAACCTCCACCGTGTCAGACCTGTAAACACTAATATTTGTTTGTTTTTAAACGCAGTATTCCAGCTATCTGACGAGGGGGGGTTGGGGTATGTGTGTATGTGTGTGTGTGGGTGGGGGGGTGGGGGGGATGGGCCAAGTCGTCAAAGCGTTGCGCCTCTTGGGCACGCCGGAAACCTATTATTGCGGGTTCGAATCCCGGTTCGCCCCGATTATGTTTCTAGGTTTGTCAGCACCATACCCGTGCACTTGGGTTTCACCGAAGTGATAAACGTCTAAGACCTGATCACTTCAGGCTTTCCTCCCACATTAAGCTGACACGCCGTGATATTACTGTAATATTGTTAAAAGCGGCGTTAAACACAACTCACTATCTGACGGCGGTCTGGAAATAATCGACTTTAGACCAGACAATCCAGTAATTGACATCATGAGCATCAGTCTACGCAATAGGGATACGATGACATGCATCAACCAAGTCAGCGACCCTGACCACCCTATCCCCATTGGTCACGGCTTAGACAAACGTGGGTTTGTAAAGATCAATTCTAATCCGAATCTTCACGGGTAAAACATATGTATGTATAACTATGTCTGTCAAACATTTGGTCTGGGAACCTATTTTACCACGGAGGTCCCTTGGGTGTGTATTCTACCCGGGCATAACCTGGAGAGACAATTATAGGGAGAGAACTGGGGATCTCTTTTCCTCGAGAGCAGGCACAAATAGGAGACTGGAGACCTATTCTGCTCTGCGCTGGAAGTACTGGGGAGACAAACAGGGGACTCGGAACCTATTCTGCTCTGCGCTGGAAGTACTGGGGAGACACACAGAGGACTGGGAACCTATTCTGCTCTGCGCTGAAACTACTGGGGGAGACACACGGGGGACTGGGAACCTATTCTGCTCTGCGCTGGAATTACTAGAGGAGACACACAGGGGACTGGGAACCTATTCTGTGCTGGAATTACTAGGGGAGACACACAGAGGACTGGGAACCTATTCTGTGCTGGAATTACTGGTGAGACACACAGAGGACTGGGAACCTATTCTGTGCTGGAATTACTGGGGGAGACACACAGGGGACTGGGAACCTATTCTGCTCTGCGCTGGAATTCCTAGGGGAGACACACAGGGGACTGGGAACCTATTCTGCTCTGCGCTGGAATTACTAGGGGAGACACACAGGGGACTGGGAACCTATTCTGTGCTGGAATTACTAGGGGAGATACACAGAGGACTGGGAACCTATTCTGTGCTGGAAATACTGGTGAGACACACAGAGGACTGGGAACCTATTCTGTGCTGGAATTACTGGGGGAGACACACAGGGGACTGGGAACCTATTCTGCTCTGCGCTGGAATTACTAGGGGAGACACACAGGGGACTGGGAACCTATTCTGCTCTGCGCTGGAATTACTAGGGGAGACACACAGGGGACTGGGAACCTATTCTGTGCTGGAATTACTGGTGAGACACACAGAGGACTGGGAACCTATTCTGTGCTGGAATTACTAGGGGAGACACTAAGGGGACTGGGAACCTATTCTGCTCTGCGCTGAAACTACTGGGGGAGACACACAGGGGACTGGGAACCTATTCTGTGCTGGAATTACTAGGGGAGACACACAGAGGACTGGGAACCTATTCTGTGCTGGAATTACTAGGTGAGACCCACAGAGGACTGGGAACCTATTCTGTGCTGGAATTACTGGGGGAGACACACAGGGGACTGGGAACCGATTCTGCTCTGCGCTGGAATTACTAGGGGAGACACACAGGGGACTGGGAACCTATTCTGTGCTGGAATTACTAGGGGAGACACACAGAGGACTGGGAACCTATTCTTTGCTGGAAATACTGGTGAGACACACAGAGGACTGGGAACCTATTCTGTGCTGGAATTACTGGGGGAGACACACAGGGGACTGGGAACCTATTCTGCTCTGCGCTGGAATTACTAGGGGAGACACACAGGGGACTGGGAACCTATTCTGTGCTGGAATTACTGGTGAGACACACAGAGGACTGGGAACCTATTCTGTGCTGGAATTACTGGGGGAGACACACAGGGGACTGGGAACCTATTCTGCTCTGCGCTGGAAATACTAGGGGAGACACACAGGGGACTGGGAACCTATTCTGTGCTGGAATTACTGGTGAGACACACAGAGGACTGGGAACCTATTCTGTGCTGGAATTACTGGGGGAGACACACAGGGGACTGGGAACCTATCCTGTGCTGGAATTACTAGGGGAGACACACAGAGGACTGGGAACCTATTCTGTGCTGGAATTACTGGTGAGACACACAGAGGACTGGGAACCTATTCTGTGCTGGAATTACTAGGGGAGACACTAAGGGGACTGGGAACCTATTCTGCTCTGCGCTGAAACTACTGGGGGAGACACACAGGGGACTGGGAACCTATTCTGTGCTGGAACTACTAGGGGAGACACACAGAGGACTGGGAACCTATTCTGTGCTGGAATTACTAGTGAGACACACAGAGGACTGGGAACCTATTCTGTGCTGGAATTACTAGGGGAGATACACAGAGGACTGGGAACCTATTCTGTGCTGGAATTACTAGGGGAGACACTAAGGGGACTGGGAACCTATTCTGTGCTGGAATTACTGGTGAGACACACAGAGGACTGGGAACCTATTCTGTGCTGGAATTACTGGTGAGACACACAGAGGACTGGGAACCTATTCTGTGCTGGAATTACTGGTGAGACACACAGAGGACTGGGAACCTATTCTGTGCTGGAATTACTAGGGGAGACACTAAGGGGACTGGGAACCTATTCTGCTCTGCGCTGGAATTACTGGGGGAGACACACAGAGGACTGGGAACCTATTCTGTGCTGGAATTACTAGGGGAGACACACAGAGGACTGGGAACCTATTCTGTGCTGGAATTACTGGTGAGACACACAGAGGACTGGGAACCTATTCTGTGCTGGAATTACTAGGGGAGACACTAAGGGGACTGGGAACCTATTCTGCTCTGCGCTGAAACTACTGGGGGAGACACACAGGGGACTGGGAACCTATTCTGTGCTGGAACTACTAGGGGAGACACACAGAGGACTGGGAACCTATTCTGTGCTGGAATTACTAGTGAGACACACAGAGGACTGGGAACCTATTCTGTGCTGGAATTACTGGGGGAGACACACAGGGGACTAGGAACCTATTCTGCTCTGCGCTGGAATTACTGGGGGAGACACACAGGGGACTGGGAACCTATTCTGCGCTGGAATTACTAGGGGAGACACACAGGGGACTGGGAACCTATTCTGCGCTGGAATTACTAGGGGAGACACACAGGGGACTGGGAACCTATTCTGCTCTGCGCTGGAATTACTAGGGGAGACACACAGGGGACTGGGAACCTATTCTGCTCTGCGCTGGAATTACCGGTGGGATACGCACAGGGGACTAGGAACCTATTCTGCTCTGCGCTGGAATTACTTGGGGAGACACACAGGAGACTGGGAACCTATTCCGCTTCGGCATCATGAGGGGGAGACACCCAGAGGGACTGGGAACCAACATGTATTCTGCTCGGAATGACAAAGGGGAGACACACAAAGGGGACTGGGAACCTATTCTGTTCCATATATCCCAGAGGACTGGGAACCTCTTCTGTTCCGTATTTCCCTCGGGACTGGGGACATATTCGTCTCCGGAAGTAACAGGGGGAACACGATGAAAAACACTTGTCCGACACAATATTTACATTGTTGCAAAGTGTTGTCAGGCTCATTGTATTACTATAGATAAATATCTGGTTTTGTAGCTGAAACATTAACTAGCCCCCAAACAAAACACAAGCCCCCCTCCTCCTGCAAGATTGTTCGCTAACTTGAAATCATATCATAGTCTAATCATATCCCGTTTACTCACCAATGAACAAGAATATCCAGACGACGGAGAACCCAACCATACTGTCGTGGACCATCGGTGCATTTGACGTCTCCCAACACCACAAGGCAATATAATCTATCTTCACTTGAGTACTTCACCCAACGTTGAATGCCCCGATAACAACGAGGGTAGGACAGGACATATCCGGTTGTAATGATATTCTGAAACACAGGATACGTTTATGGGAGGTGCGAAAGCAGGTGATTGCAAAAACACCATCAACATAATAGAAATAGCAACCATCTCTATTTATTGGGATTGCTGTGAAATGCGCTGTGACGATCGAATGTTTTGATGACATTGTGAAGCAGCGCTAATGGCATTGATCAGACACCCTGTATGTCATCCATTCAGTGACAGCCGCTGATGAAACCTGGTGGGACGCAATGGGAATAATTGGCGGCGTTTGATGTGCAGTCATTACCCAATACAAACCTATTTACATATGTCGCGTAGGGATTTGATTTGTTTTATGCTCTCTCCGTGTAAGTGAATCCAATAAGGCCAACACCCGATTCAGCAGAGTGATTAATGTTATTTGTTCTGGTAGATGTATCAGAGTACTTAATGCTGGTACATGATGGGCTTTTAGTGGAAGCATCATACAGCTTTCATCAACACAGATGTTTGGGGACTGATAATTATAACTTCTAACGGGTTCCATTAGTATCCGAGATATATAATATGCATGTACACAAATGGAGTCCTATTTTGAATTTTAATAATCGAACTTGATTCAAGTTCGAATGCGTGTTCTGTCATGTCACCGATTTTTTTAATAAAAAACATATTATCGTAGTGTGTGCTAGACTCCCGAGCGATACAATGTGTAAGTCTGTCCACTATTCACGTACAAAAGTACAATGTGTAAGTCTGACTTCGACTCCCGTATTGTACACTTTGTAAGTCTTTGCTCGACTCCCGTATATACTACACTTTGTAAGTCTGTGTTCGACTCCCATAAAAAGTACAATGTGAAGGCCTGTCCTCGACTCCCGTAGAAAGTACATTGTATAAGTCTGTCCTCGACCCCCGTATATAGTACAATGTATAAGTCTGTCCTCGACCCCCGTATATAGTACAATGTGTAAGTCTGTCCTCGACCCCCGTATATAGTACAATGTGTAAGTCTGTCCTCGACTCCCGTATATAGTACAATGTGTAAGTCTGTCCTCGACCCCCGTATATAGTACAATGTATAAGTCTGTCCTCGACCCCCGTATATAGTACATTGAATAAGTCTGTCCTCGACCCCCGTATATAGTACAATGTGTAAGTCTGTCCTCGACCCCCGTATATAGTACAATGTGTAAGTCTGTCCTCGACCCCCGTATATAGTACAATGTGTAAGTCTGTCCTCGACTCCCGTATAAAGTACAATGTGTAAGTCTGTCCTCGACCCCCGTATATAGTACAATGTGTAAGTCTGTCCTCGACCCCCGTATATAGTACAATGTATAAGTCTATCCTCGACTCCCGTAGAAAGTACATTGTATAAGTCTGTCCTCGACCCCCGTATATAGTACAATGTATAAGTCTGTCCTCGACCCCCGTATATAGTACAATGTATAAGTCTGTCCTCGACTCCCGTATATAGTACAATGTGTAAGTCTGTCCTCGACCCCCGTATATAGTACAATGTGTAAGTCTGTCCTCGACTCCCGTAGAAAGTACATTGTATAAGTCTGTCCTCGACCCCCGTATATAGTACAATGTATAAGTCTGTCCTCGACCCCCGTATATAGTACAATGTATAAGTCTGTCCTCGACCCCCGTATATAGTACAATGTGTAAGTCTGTCCTCGACTCCCGTATATAGTACAATGTGTAAGTCTGTCCTCGACACCCGTATATAGTACAATGTGTAAGTCTGTCCTCGACCCCCGTATATAGTACAATGTATAAGTCTGTCCTCGACCCCCGTATATAGTACAATGTGTAAGTCTGTCCTCGACTCCCGTATATAGTACAATGTATAAACCTGTCCTCGACCCCCGTATATAGTACATTGTATAAGTCTGTCCTCGACCCCCGTATATAGTACTATGTGTAAGTCTTTCCTCGACTCCCGTATATAGTACAATGTATAAGTCTGTCCTCGACCCCCGTATATAGTACATTGTATAAGTCTGTCCTCGACCCCCGTATATAGTACTGTAACAAAATTTCCTGTTCTAGCAAGGTTAACAGGTACTTCAAAGATCACATTTACAGCCTTTTATGACAATGGAACAACTCCCAGCCTTCACACTAATTTCAACTATGGTACTAGCATCGTGTTGTATGTTATAAGGTTGACATCCCTTTAAGCAGTGTTTTTCCAAGTTACAGAATCAAGTATAACAGTAAATTCCAACTTGAGTCACGTCAGTCATGTTTACAGTCGCCATCTTGGATTTTCTGACGTCACAGTTGCGTGTCATGTGACCTTACGTCACCTATAAATAGACCTGTCAAGGTGAACTTCGGGGCGGCAATTTTGACTTTGACAAGCAAGGTAGGGTTCCAGGGTTACGTCACCGCTAAATTATATTGTTCGCATTCTAGGAGATTTTTATTGTAAAGCTTTTAATGTAAATGGCTAATATTAATACTTGGTCTTCTCTGAAAGTATTTGATCGTGGATTAGTGATTATTTACCTTGTGGACATCCGGATGACGTTTTGTTGACGTCCTGATGACGTCTGACAGTTCCGAGATTCCGGATTCATTCCGACGGAATATTCCAAGATCGTAATTATTCAAGCATACAAGTTACAGTTACAGTTACAGTTATCACCAGTCGAAAGCGATTTGTCGTCCGTATAAAATATTATAGTTTACAGCCTATATTTAGATGTTTTGACAGTCGTCGATTGTCATCGCGGTCCGGGGGGTCCGAGGTCATTCCGACCGGATTGTTTACATTATCAAGTTGCGTAATAATGCCATCACAGTCAATGGTTTTTATCTACAGATGTTTACAGGGATCGTTCTAGAATCGATCCTATATATTTAATTCCAAGCTTTAATTGGGATTTGACTTCATGCTGACTAAAACCGCAGTTTGACAGCTCTCGGAGGTGTGGCCTCATTGTCATCCATTCTGGGTCACATGACTTCCGGAATGTATTGTTTACATTACATGGATCCAGTTCCGGTTGCAGCAAAGTTCGTACACTTTCAAGTTTCAAAGTTTATTGTACAGTTTAATTGTTTTAACAGTTCAGATATATCAATTGTGGGAGGGATACAGCAAGTACCGGATTCTAGAGCCATGATGTGACAGACAAAGCCGAGCGACTGATGTTTCCAGTACAGTTCAAAGCCGGTATCGCGTTTCGCGATCTCGAGACCATGCACAAGATTTTTCAGTTCACTGAATAATTAACAAACTCGTTATTGAACTTAACCTACTCGTTGTGTGATCCTTCTGCATTTCGCTAGTTTCGACATTCGTAACTTTGTAGATCCTTGTGATATATTTTCGCTAAACCTCGTCTCCAAGCTCTGGTATTTATTTTGTCACTCCCGTACATAGTACAATGTGTAGGTCTGTCATCGACACCCGTATATAGAACAATGTGTAAATCTGTCCTCGACTCCCGTATATAGTACAATGTGTAAGTCTGTCCTCGACTCCCGTATATAGTACAATGTGTAGGTCTGTCATCGACACCCGTATATAGAACAATGTGTAAATCTGTCCTCGACTCCCGTATATAGTACAATGTGTAAGTCTGTCCTCGACTCCCGTATATAGTACAATGTGTAAGTCTGTCCTCGACTCCCGTATATAGTACAATGTGTAAGTCTGTCCTCGACTCCCGTATAAAGTACAATGTGTAAGTCTGTCCTCGACTCCCGTATATAGTACAATGTGTAGGTCTGTCATCGACACCCGTATATAGAACAATGTGTAAATCTGAGCTGACTGCGTATGTTACAGCTGATTAGACGCCAAGGGTGAAACATGACTCGCTGTGGGGTTGTGATCGGTTTTATTCAGAGATTCGGAGATGTAGACATGGAGAAATGTTGAAACAACAGAATAGTAACGGCCATATAAAATATTTAAACATGATAATAAGCCTTACCTATTTGTGGAATTGAGTCATGTAATTAAATGTGGTGACTCACGCTGAATGACCATAGATTGCCTGTAATTCACAAACACCATCATACAACATTGAGACAATGCATTCACCATCACTCATGGTCACCACTCACACAATTCAAACAAAACCATTCGATATATAAACACACAGCCAACTGACAAAAGCTGACGTTTAATAATTAATTTTAACTCTAATCAGAACATTTATTGTAACTTTCTACACTACCAAATGGATTTTAGCTTTGAGTTAGTTGACCAACATTAGATACTTTAGATACTTAAATACATTTTTCAACATCATCATATTTAACAAGATACTAAATAACATTAATTTTTAAGAAACATATTTAATAGACATGTAAAAGAATTAATCAACCTAAACATAATTTGGTGTTTAAGTATTTAACTGACCTGTTTCATTCCTGTTGCCACCTTGTTGTTGCCTCGTGTGATTGGTGCAAAGAAGACTATCTTAGTTTTGAAATTAGCCAATGAGAAGTTAAGAATTAGGGTCAGGTGATTCATCCTGGATCCAGAATGAGACAATACTCTTGATCCAGCATTATGCTTTACATAGCTCTGACGTCATAACCAGATGTAATGTAATTCATATGAACTAATAGATAAACGAAAGCAAATGTAAATCTAATTAACATTCGCTTAAAACCACAAACGTTAGAATACTGACACCAACCAACAAAATTTGAATAACCCTTTTATGACTTATACATTGTTTTTTATTCTTATTTCACCTTTAAACCATAAATTATAAAACGCCATGTTACATCCAGTAATTGTAAAATAGATATGTACAGAGAAACCAAATTGAGACATTAAAACACTATCAAAATGTCACTGCCACACGTATATAGTACACTTTGAAAGTCTGTTCTCTACTCCCGTATATAGTACACTGTGTAAGTCTGTGCTCGACTCCTCGATATAGTACACTGTGCAAGTCTGCGCACGACTCCCCTATATAGCACACTTTGTAAGTCTGTGCTCTACTCCCGTATATAGTACACTGTGTAAGTCTGTGCTCGACTCTTGTATATAGTACAAT